GTGATTTCATAGAAGTATTTCCATTACTGAAGCATATTCCACATTTTTTTTGCTTATTTGCGAAATCATATTCAGAGAGAATATGAAAAACTGCATCGATCTATATATGTCATCTATTGATTGGAGATTTCGTTAGTCTAATCAATAGCACTTATGTGGTTCAAAACCTGGTTTTTTTCTTGAATTTTTGAGTATTTGACTTCACAACCATCGAGAACTTAATTTTAAAGACTTCTCTAATATATTTCCGATTTAGAAATGAATAGCGCACATCACTGTATGCATTTTAGGCTCTCTAATGGTATTGTTCGATTGCCTGAAGACAATAAATCAAAATAGACTTCTCCCAGCATCGTATTGAAATTTGAATTTTTCCCTATCAAAAGTTAGGGTTTTTTTTGAATATCAATCCGAAGCAGGTAAAAAAAATGAAGGTTGCTTTTTCACAAGAAAAAGTACTTCATCTTACTCAGAATTTAATGCTGAATCAGAATATGTACTTCTTTTCAAAAAGTATCATGGGCCAGGGGTGGCCCGACTGGGGGTTGTGATAACTCCCCAATAATCGAAAATTTTCGTTTTTCCCCAGCGGAGTCGAAAATTTTTCTTGCGTTCTATTAGAAAAAAAAAATTATATTACCATCTTAAAAATCAGGGACAAGCCCCCAATGTTTGCCGCCTCGGGCCACCCCTGTCATGGGCAAAAAAAATACCTTTATTGCCACTTGTACTTTACGAAAAAAATATATCTATTTAGATCTTTGATGATTATGTCTAATATTGGAATAGATATTGATAATATACTTGATATGAAAGGCTAAGTTTTGACTTGAGAATCCGAGATTGATTGAATTCTACCGTATATATGCACAAACTTACTTCAACATCAGCACGATCATGAATCCATTTTATTATTTGTTCAGCAGAAAATCCCGAACTAATATATAAATAAATATAAATCATTACTTGATATTATTCTTAACTTACCGACTAAGATCCATATAATCACTTTTTTTAGGTTTCATTTTTGGTGGAAAATAAATAAATACTGGTGCTGTATTTAATTTTAACTATGAGAGAAAAAAAAAACATTATCGAAATATTTAACAATAATATAAAATACTACATACATATTGAAATGCATCAGATCCATCATCAAAATCGACCATACCAAAAAACACACTATTTGAAAATGCATTTGAATAACGATAACTTTGTGCAACTATTTGAAATTCATCATATGCTTGTCTTTAAGAAAAAAAGTCCAACAAAAAAAAGAAGGTATTAAATATTTCTTTTAATCTTACTTGCAAATACTACATTGTCGTTGTGGAGATAATGCTGTAAACATAATAAACATTGAATAATTTCTTGATGATGCCTTAACATAATGTTTAAAATGTTCATTATTTAGACGGATAATTGGTTTTTTAAGTGACCATTGTGTTAATTGTTGAATTTTGTCTGATAGAACATCCTGATATATTTAAGATGAATACATTAAGATTCAAGAAAGTATATATTTCAAAAAAACACAAACCTCTTCACTGAGAACATTCAAAGTTATACATGCACAAATAAAAAACAAATACACGAAATATTTCATTTAAAATATAGGTCTTGTTTACACTAGAAAAACAAATTCGATTTTAGTTATTTATGAATTTAATCTATCAATCAGAACTGAGAAATGGTTACTATAATGTAGTTGAAGTACATAATAAAACAAAATGTTGCCTCTGTCTCTCTTTGATAATTAATAACTGACTAATAAAATTTGTTAACAAAGTATCTACCGTTCTAACTTATTTCTTTCAACTACAGATTCCTTATTTTTATACTTCAGCCCCTATTTAATTATATTCTATAGTTTATCATATTGAAAATATTTATCTATCGATAATCGAAAGTGATTTTATTGAGGTGTAAATTAATCATTTTAATTAGTGGATCATGTGTTTTAGTGATTGGTGCATTAAATTTAATTCGTCTCTGACAAATGTATTAAGTCTGAATTAATTTTTTAACTAATTATAACTTTTTTAGTGTAGACAAGAGCTTACGATATTTGATTCAATTCAATTAGTTTTCTTTAAAAAGAAAAGACTAGCTGGCTAGCTGGTTAGTAGTTCGTAGCAAATTTTTATTGGATTTTGTTTATTATCGAATGATATACAAATATGATACTTTTTTCAATAGATTTATATGAAAATAATATTGTAAAAATATATCGATATGGTTATATTTTAGTTTTTCAATTAAAATAAATCTTTTGTAGACAGATGTCATTGATAGTCGTATGAACAAAAAATTTTGTTAGAGTATGAATAGAGAAGAATTCGAATTTAAATAAAAAATAGAAAGATCTTGCTTGCAAATATCTAATCTTAATTAAATTTGCCTTTCAAATGGTTTAATTTTTGTAAATTCTATTATATGTGTATATAATACTGTATAATTCACATTCGGCATCGCCCATATCTTCCCGCGTTAATTTACGCAGTTGGTATAGTGCCAACAAAAAACACTTCTTTTCGGTTAACTAAATCAATTTCTTTACCACGAGTAAAATATAAGAAAATTTTCTATTCTTTTTCTTTCGATATAATCAACACACGATGTTTATATTCACTTTTCATGAACAGAGATTTCATTCGAATTTTGTCGCATGTACACGCTCTTCTTTCTCTTTCGTAGTAGAAAAATCATCTTTTATCTATTTTCTTTTCCATAAGACAAATAATAGCAATCATTATTTCTTTTTTTTTTTCTATTCACTATCATTTCTGTTTCATTACTTATTTACATAATCATGCCGAATTACTATAGCTCTTCAGTCAATTGGACGACAAGTGTTAATAGTAATATTAATTTTTCTGTTGTTAATCATATAAATATCTATTGATATTCTTCAGGTTGTCAGCCACTAAAAAAACGTAATCTTCTAGAAAATTTACAAATTGAACCTGATAAAGTTTCTCCTACACCAGCACCAGCACCACCACCATTTCAAGATTTTCTTACAGTTCTTAATACAAAAAAACGAACACATACAAGTTTAAATGTAAATGGTATTACTAGTGATAGTAATGTTTATCTTCTTCATCAAACACCATCACCATTACTTGATCATACAAATTATAAATATCCTAAAATTCGTGCAAGACCAATTTATAATTTTAAATATAATGAAACAAATATTTGGACACAATCATCATTGAATTCAACAAAATTTGATGTAAATATTCTTAATAAATTTTTTGCTAAAGAAACAAAACAAAACAATAGCAATGAACAGCATACGAAAAATTCATCAATGACAACAACAATTACACGACCATTTCAAATACTTGATAAATCATCACAATTAAATTATGATGTAACTATGCGACATTTACTTCAATTATTAGCAAAAAATAATGGTCAAAATGCCACTATTGATGATGTTCTTCATGGTATCGATACAGGAAATATTGATAATGAATGGTAAAGTTTTGCATGAAGTTTGTGTATAGTGAAAGCATATTGTAGATTTTAATAAAGAACTGTATTTATAAAAAAAACTATGAGAAAATTTATCAAATGTTGAAATTTAATAAATCATCGTAGGATTTGTGTATATATGTCAGTCATCAGGATACAAAAAATTACGAATTTTAGTCTTAGTTCAGTATGTTTCAATCTACGAATAAGAATTTTAATAATATTTATTGAAATATGCTTTCTATCGTTAATAGTTCACACAAGGGAATTGCACAAACAGATATTTTTTTTTCTTCTAGGCTTCAATGTGTTCAACGTTTAAATAAAACATTAAATAAACATTTTGAAAAACGACCAGATCATAAAATCAAATTTGAAACATATAATATTGAAAATTTTAATAATATAAATTTAATTGAATTATTTTTTATAAAACTTCTTCATATACCAAATTATAATTTTAAATTAAATTGTTATCAATATCGTGATGAATTACAATTACAATTAAATTTATTAAGTCAATCAATTGATAATCTTATTCATAATATTGAATTAATTTTAAATAATAAATACTTACCTGGTATATTTCAACTTTTATGTTATTTATATAATATTATATCAAATAAATGTGTACCCGGTCTTGATTTTATATCATTAATTGATGCATTAAATTCACCAATAAATCAATTAAATAAAACTGTTGCACATGTTCTAGTAGAAATTCTTAATGAATATTATTCAAATTATTTAATAAATATAATTAATGATGAAACATTAATTGAATTAAAAAAATTTATTTCAATAAAATATGAAAAATTTTATATAGAAATACGTGAAATTTATCAACAATATCAGCAACTTGAATATGAATATATAAATATTAAAAATCAATATGAATTACCATTATTTATTTCATCAATGTTTTTTGAAACAAAAAAACAATTTGATAAATTATTTCAACAAGAAATTCTTATAAAAACAGGTGAACAAAATTTAGCTAATTATTTTTGTTCAAATGATTTAACAATTGATATTTGTTTATCAACTATTGGTCAATTTGTTGATAAACTTCGTCTTGCATATATTGAAAATATGAAAGAAAAAACACAAAAAATTTCAATAATAAATAATGAACGTAAACATTCCATATTTTTACCAATAAATAAAACATCTTCGTTTTTATCATGTGTTTAATATATAACTTAATTCCGTGTTATTTGCTGTTTTTTATATGTTCGTTGAAAATTCTTTTTCAATTTTTTTCTCCTCGTTGTTATTTTGTTTTTTATCGTGGATTTTTGCATGTGTTTTTTTTTGTTCGATGTTATATACGTTTTAAAAGGAAAATATATATATATATAAAGAAAATCAAAGCATGATACAATATGCTTGTTATTAATTTAGTTTTAAAATAGATTTAATCATTATAAAAGAGAGAAAACAAATAGACAGACAAACAACAAAAAAAAAAAGAAGCATGCATTGAGCAATTAAAAAGACAAGAAAATTTTCACATATTACAATCGTTTAGATTGAGTTAAACGTTGAAAAACACTGCTGTTCATTGGATTTGTTTTACGTAAATCAATTGTACTTGTTGATGCTTTTCGATTAGTATTCAAACCAGATGATGGAAGAACAGTAGTTAATGTTGTTTTATTTGTAAGAGCTTTTTGATGATGCCAAGATGATGGTGGTTTTCGAAGATTTTTTGGTGATGCTGTTGATGTTGATTGAAGATCACTATTTGAACTAAATAATCGTCGTGTTCTTGGTGATGGTCGATTAGATGATGATGATGATTCATTATTTGTTGTAGTTGACATATGACAAGCACGCAATGGTTTTTCAGTTGGTCGACTAAATGATGAACGAAGAATTTGACTATTATTAAGAAAAGTATTTGGTGGAGAACGAGTTTTAGTTAATGGTGAAGATTTTGAACTATTAATTGTTGTTGTTGAAACATTTTGACATGAACTTGCATGACCAAGACGAGAAGAGACTTTACGATTTATAGGAGAATATGAACGAAATGATGAATCTGTTACAGAATGAATATTACGCATTTTATTTTTCGATTTCATTGAAGATATACGATGATTAGTCATTGTTATTGTAGTAAGAGTTGAAGATGATGAAACTTCATCAGATTCTATTGTAGTTTGTGCTGTTAAAGATTGAGGGAATGATGATGATGGTGAAGAAGAAGTATTAAGAGTCGTTTTTGATGTTTCATCAGTATCTTTTTCATTCCAAATTCGTCGTGATACAGCACAACGTTGTATATGTCGACTTGATCGAATACCATTAGCTGTATTATTATTATTATTATTATTTGTTGATGTTGATCGTACACTTTCAGCTGATGGTGCACGTTTTGTAGATAATGTTTTATTTTGTTGGCCAGTTGAAGTAAATGTTGAATAATTATAAGCTGATGTTGATGTTTTCAATAAACTTGCTGATCGTCCATGAGATAATGATGTTCGTCTATTATTACGAATATGATTATCATGAGTTAATCGACGAGTTGAATTGAATGTAAGACGTCGTGTAAGTTCATCAGCAAGAGTTTCATCAGTTGATATAGATTTGATTTCATTTGAATTCGTTTCAAGTGGACATGATCGTGAAGTTGATTCAACAGTTTCACTTACATTTGATTGAGTTTCAAAACCTTCATCAAGTGTTTCTGAATCAGATAATAATGATGGCATTGTCGGTAAACAAGAACGATTTTCATCATTTGAATTATCAATAGGTAATGATAAACTTGAAGATTGTTGACTATCATCATCAATAGAATTTGGTAATGACGATAACTGAAATCAATCAATCAATCTTTTTTAGAAAATATTATTTTAATTCATCTAGTCAAAGAGATCTTTTAATTCTATTGATTTATTAATACTTACTTAGAAAAAGCAAATTATTTATGGTTTTTTTTTTTTATTAAAGAATTTCTAATACCCAAGAATTATAACTAAAGTGCTAATACTAAGCAATGGTAGAAAATAATCATGCATGCATTTGTGTTCATATATTATATTTCATCTACGTTGTGTGTGTGTGTTTTTTTTTTGCTTCAGAATATCAACCATTCATACAAAATACGGTGTTAGCAACTACATGAAAAGAACGAACTACATCAAGAATAAAGCTTATAATGAATAAAACGAAAAAATAACGAGAAACAAAACGAAATGCAACGCTTATAAATGAAAAAAATCTCTTTCAAAAAAAAAACAACATACTACTGTTTCACAAAAAAAAAGAACTAGACAACGAATCAAATCAATAATCTTTCATTATGATGTTCAAAAAAAAAAAGAAATCATGAATACATAAAAAAAAATACCAAGAAGAAGATCAATTTGAATCACGAACAACTCTATGATGTATAAAGTTCATTTGTTGAATTGTCGTCGTCGTGATAAAAAAAGGTTATCTTCTTAAATGAGAGAACAAAATAAAAAATACAAAGAGCAACAACAACAACAACAACAACAACAAAAAATAGAAATCGTTGATTATCATTTTTGTTTTCATGGCCATATTGTTGATGAAATCATTATCAATGTTGAATACCAAATATGATGAAACAAATTCTTGTACCAATGAAATAACTATAAAAAGTAGCAGAAGCAAACAAGACCGAACAAACAAATAAACGGAAAAAAACAACAAAGAAGAAAACAAAAAGATTTTAATCAACTACTTAAAGGAATCAAAGACCAACAAAAAAAGAAAAGAAAGATGTGTTAGTTAATTAAAGACTAATGATATATTGGAGTTTTTAAGATAAGCTTGTATATACTAGATTTTTTTACCTCTGTAGTATTTTGAATATCAGACGATGACGATGATGTTGATGATGTTATTGGTGTTAAATAATGAGAATTTTCTTTATTATTATCATTTTCATTATTTAAATATTTTATATGTTGAATATTAGTTATTGGTGGTGTTATAGAATTATTATTTTTATAATCAATAGGTCGATTTGTATCATTTGGTGTTGATTGATCATTCGATGGATCAAATAAACGTCTTATTGGTGTTGTTAAATAAAATGATGGTTGTATTTCACATACAGATATAACACGAGCTGTTGATGGTAATAAATGATCATCATTAATATTATTATTATCATGAGAATTTATTTCTTCTGTTGTTATTGTTGTTGAACAATCCATTTTTGTATCATTATTATCTTCCTGTTCATGATTTAATGTTGGTGAAAGAAAAACATCGTCCTACAAAAAAATGAAAATTAATTTTAAAAAAAAAGTCAAAATAAAATGATTTACTGATTGTTGATCGTGTATTGTTGTTGTACATATTGGAAGTGCATTAAATGGTCGTTTAGTAAAAATTGTTTTTGATGTTGGTGAATGACCACGTTTACGTGGTATTGCATTTGGTAATAAATTTTGTGTACGAATTGTTGTTGTTGTTGTTGTTGTTGTTGTTGATTCCATTGATTCTTGTTGTTCATCATTGGTATAAGATATATCACGTGAAGAACCACAAAAACGTTCACGTGAAGTTTTATTAACTTTATATCGTTGTCGTGTAGTTGTTGGTGTTAATGGAACATTAAGATGATCACGAAAAATATTTGTATCTGAACCATATTGATTTTGAGAATTTCGTAATAAACGTGTTGTTGTTGGTGTTTGAACAAAACGATTATCATATGAACGTTGTTGTTGTTGCTGTTGTTGCTGTTGTTGTTGTTGTTGTTGTTTTAATAATAATTCATTACGACGATTTTGTTCAACATTTTGCATATGTGCAAGACGAATTTTATCAATAAATTGTCCAAGTGTTGAAAAACATATTTCAATTGATAAATCCCATAGACAAAAATAATTTGATAAATCTTTTTCATACTTTTTTATTTTATTTTCATCATCAAATAATTTTGTAAATATTATTTGTATATCATTAAGTGTTGTTTTTATATGTTCAGGTATAATAATTAATTGTTGTTGTAATTCTCTTAATGTTGTATTTAATTGTTTATAACGTGTATATAATAAACGTATATCAATATAAATAGGTATATATTTAATTGATGATAAATCTTTTAATTTTAATAATATTTGATTATCAAATATATTTAATAATGTTGGATATTGTTCTTCTAATAGATGACAAAGTAGATGTGCTATTGTTGTATTTTGTTTAGGTGTACGTGTTGAAAGTACAGATAAAATTGAATCAAAATGAAGACCAGGAATTGTTTTGCCTGTTATACTATTGTAAAGTAAACAAAGTAAATGAAGTATACCTGGTAATTGTTCATTATTTAAAATAACTTGAATACTTTCAAGTAGATCATTAATATGTTTACTGATACGTTCAAGTTGTGTTGGTGCTTCTTCACAAAATTTTAAATAAATTAATTTAAATTCATATGCTGGTACACGAACAAGTTTAACAAAAAATTGTTCTATAAGTACTAAACCATGTGTTGAACCTTTATGTGCTAATACACGTGCTTTATCTTCTGGTCTTTTATCAAATTGTTTATTTAAAGCAGTAACAGCATCAAGCCTATATATATATATATATATATAAATATAAATATTTTTTTTTTAGTTTAATTATAAGAATGTTATGAAAAGTGTGCAACTATATTTTAAGATGTTGAGAAGGTGAAATTTGAGAAAAGCTGTTTTTTTGGTCAAATTTCGAATTATCAGCACATTAATTCATTTCTTCGAAATTGAATTATCGTTAAAATCAATTCTTTCATCATATCTTTAATCAAAAAAAAAAAAATTCTATTTCGTAATCAGTATGTTTGAGAAGCCTTATTTCTTTTTCTTTTTTTTATGAGGCAATCTACGTAAGCCATAATGGATTCTATTTAATCAAAGATTTTATTTGTACCGTCAAGCAATATTTAATTCGAGAGTTTAATGAAAATGTTTAAATAATATTTCAATCATTTTCTTAGGAGAAAATCTGTAGGAAAGTTGATTTTACTATTATAACGATTTTATACAAATCTAATATTATAATTGAACATCCATCTATGACGATAAGTTATGTCTTGCATGAATATGTTTGCTATACAAATTTCAAAGATTGAACAAATTTAATAAAGTTTCACTTCTTCTATAAAAACATGTCAAAGAACATGAAAATTTTATACATTTAAAAAAATCATAACTATCAAAATTAGAATTACTATGAAAAACAAAAAAAAAAAAACAAATCGCATTTCTTACCAGTCAGATTTCATATGTGTTTCATCAATAGCTCGAATAACATGATCAATACTAGCATCATCATCATGGTCTTTTTTAACCAATTGAAGTAAATGACGCATAGGTACATCATAAAGCATTTTAGATGTAGCATCAAGTAAAACAAATGAAAGTGGACCATCATCATTCATACCACCTAGTCCTCCTCCTCCTCCAATATAACTTGTTGTTAGGCTTGATCGTCGATAATGACCTGTCATTGTCGATTTTGATTCACCATAGTGTTGATCAAATACAGTTTGTTTTATACGAAGATTTGGTAAAACACGTCGTGTCCAAATATTATTGCCAGTCATGAGCATTGTTGGAACTGAACGTGCTTGAATTTCAGTTATATTTGCTCGATTAACAACAAGATTAACTTCTTGATGTGGTAATAAAATTTTACATAAATTATTTGTGTTGTTGTTATTATTATTGTTGTTATTGTTAAATACAGGTGGTGCAGGCGGTGGAGGAGGAGGAGGCGGTAATCCAACGAAACCATCAGAAGGCGACTGGCTTGATATCATTTCTATTTGAAAAAAAGATACAAAACAAAAACAAACTGAATATTTATTTCAAACAAAAAAAGAAAAAGAAATTAACCATTTTTATAAATATCATCAGTTGGTGAACCATATTGAATAGTCGTCATCGGAGTAGTTAGCATCAGACTTCGCCGTCACTCTCTCTCACTCAACACAAAATATGATCTTTTATTATCTAAAATATTGACAAATATAATTTGGTTTTTTTTTTGTTGACTTAGAATTTATTCATTTCACTTCATTAAAACTAATACTGATTATTATTTATCGCCATGTTATTTGAATAGATGATAGAAATGTAAAATGAGACTGGTCAATGATTCACCGAGTATTTATATGTCTATATATATATATATATATATCGATCAAGATAAAACAAAGATCATATTCTTGTACGGTTAACAGAGAAAATAACGAATAGTATACATAGATAGATAAATCTATAGATTACACAAAGAATAATATAAATAAGACTGGATAAAAGTCATTCAGTCGATAAATAGAAAAAAAAGATGAAGAAAAGATAAATTAAAAATAAAAACATTAAAGAAAAAAGAAACAACTTGTATCCAAGTATTATTCTTTGGAATTCGATCTAAATCGATGCAAACTATACATATATATATATATAATATATGCATAGTGACTATGAAGATTCAAAAGTTAATCGAAGTGTTTACATTAAAAACAATGACTAAATCAATGTATCGAGATCTAAATTGTTTCATACTGATTCTGTCCTTATATAAATATGTGTGTGTGTATGTGTCTAGGTCTAGTCATACCTCTTTAGGTGTGTTAGACATCGTTCTATTTTTATTCTCTTTGTCTATTCAGACCATTTTTATTGTTTTTCATCTCTAATGCTCATTCATTCTCATTTTCTCTATGCTAATACTTACCTGGCACTTCATTTGAAAATGTTACATCCAGACAGTTTGATGATCTAATGTCATCAGATGATAGACAGGCAGCCAGTCATAACATCAAATTGAACTGATAATAGAGTACGGAGCGCATAGCATCGTGCGTCTGCCATTTTTTGTATCAATATATATAGATATAGATATATATATATATATATATATACGTATATAATCACAAACATCTATATGTAATTACCTGACGTCTCTCTTCCTCTCTATCTACCTATTCTTCTATTATTCAATTGTAATGATGCTCGCAAAAGCGATAAATACATACACACACAAAAAAAAGAAACTTCACAATGACTCTTGAATAAAAAAAAAAAGAGAAAAAATAACCTGTTATTCAAAATTGTGTAATATATATATATATATACATACATGAATGGTGAGTCGTTATTAATAAGAAAAAAGGACGGTGAGAGAGAGAGAGAGATGACATTGTAGCAACGGGATACTTATCTCTGATATTAGTATACAAGTATATACTCAATGAACGGAGTCAAAATGAATATATGCAATCAACAAAAGATCAATTATCAGTTATTACTGATCTTCACAATATTCAAGGCTTTATACATCTTCTCTTAGGACAATCGATATGAATACTATGTGTATATATATACATAAAGAAAGAACAGAGAAAAAGTGAAAAAATGAAATGGCACGACCCTGAGTTGGTCTATGTCAACTTACACATGACAAATTCATTAAAATGATTGAAATAGTACTCTATGGCTTCTCAATACTAAAGGAGAATAATATACAAAAAAGAAAAGAAAAAAAGCACGTCGAGACACGATCCCTTCTCACTATAGTATATACATATTTACATGGAATACAACAAATTAATAAATAGATCAACTAATTTATTTACTTTCGACCAAGGTTAATTTCTTTTATTTATTGAGGTCAGATATGCATACATACATCCTTCCATTTTTTTTTTACATATCTAGTCAATATAAACTTCAAGTTGTTTAGCATAATAAATACGAAAGAACAAAGGCAAGATTCATTCGATGAAGAATCAATTTCAAAAGCAATAGTTTTTTTGTCTTTTCATCTAAAGGCATTTACTCACACACATATATATATATATATATATACACGTATATAATACACATACTGTCTGAGGACACAATCAAAAAATGAACTGTCTCAATTACCATTTCAAGTAAAATCGAATAGTAAATTCTTATGATCTAACAAAGCCTTAAGACATACTCATATAGAGTGTGAGCTACATCTGCATACAAATAAGCCTTCTTTTTCTTCTAACTTACATCCTAAGTCTTTCGCTCTCTGTCTCTGTCTCTCTCTCTCTCTCGTGTTCTCGATTTCGACACTCCCCAATGTTCGTATTGACGCAATGTATATATTTGCTGACCAATACATGCAATTCTTCATCATTTCTCTTTGCCTTTCAATGTATAGTTGTGATGGCGAGAGTGACACATTGAACGTCGCCATCGATGATCATGTACAATTGATTGTTCGATGCTTAATTGTATTGCGCTATATGACGACCACTACTACCATCGCCTTGCGGTCTTCATAGTTTTTCTTTTCGAACAGTACACGCAAGAAGCTATATAAGTTGATGATCGATCGTTTGTGATGAGAAGAGATGGGAAGAGGGAGGAGAAAAGAACTGATTTTCACATTCGTCATAGATGCTTTCTTTTGACAGTAACATTCAATCGTTTAAATATTCATTCACACACTTTTGATGTCCATTTTAAAAAAGAAAAAGGTATATGCATATACATAACAGAGAAAAAAAAAGAAAATGAAAACCATGTGTATGTGTTTGGTCACCTTCGAGGTTTATATATATATAAAATCAAGACAAGATAAAGTTTGACGTAACCAAAAGAATTAAAGTATATATATATATATATTTAAATATATATATATATATATACATCAAACTTCGTATTTGATATTATGAACAAAAGAAATCCTAACTTGATGATCAAAGATGACATTTATTCTCTTTACAACTAAAGTTTTATCTACTTACATATTATATTCATTTTCAAACATCTATATGTGTGAAACTCACTATCATGACTAGTTTGATAATCCATAGAAGATTTAAAAAAAAAAGAATACATTGAAGATATGTATATAACTATGCTAGCTCACATAACTTGCACATTTACTATTGATTAATATGAACTAAATATATAAGGTGAGGGACAATTACATCGTTTTTCTTTCTTATTAGAGCAAGCGACCTTTCTGCGAGCCATCACCGAAACGAAGGAAGACTATTGAATGTATCGCACAAGAGTATTCACCGACTTACCTGTTATATACGTGTTATGTTATGTACATTTACTAAGAACCATTACCAAAGGAAAAAGACAGGCACGTCTTTTTTTTTTTCTTATATCTTCGACTAGTTCTCATCAGAATATTTGCTTAAATATACATACAAGAAAGCTTACCATTTAACTAAAGACATCAATTATGATGATACTAACACATTGTAATAATGATATGATGTAACGAACCAAGAAAAAAAAAAGAAGATGACCGCTAGTTGTCCTTTTTAACTTTCTTTTTCTTTTTTATCGCTTGGATGGACGCATATATCCATCCAACCCTCAAGGTTTAATACTACTTATATTGTCATTAATTCACAAAGGAAAAAAAGAAGAATGGGATCTGATACCATAGTCATATTCAATAAAAAAGAAAATGAGAAGTTTTTTTTTTTTTTTTGTCATTTCATGTATATCAAATGTTTGCGATCGATCAATAATTAAGTATATTGAAATTTTACAGCAAGGACAAGTAAATTCTCATATTACGACTATAAGAAACAAAAAAGAAAAAAGAAAATGATGACCATGAAATAAACTTTAAATCGATTTTCAAAATACTTCCTACTATCTCATTAAGTTTCTTTTTGAAAAAAAGAAAACATATATGTTGTTATTTAAAGTGTTTTTTTTTCAAAGATCACATACAATATTGAAAAGCTTATTTAATCATACGATATATTTTTTCATTACATTTAAACATAGATTAAGACAAAAAAAAATCACTTATATATATATATATTTGTGAAAACAAAAAAAAAATTACAAAGAAATTATATATATATATATATGGAACATACGACTAGGATGTTTGAACATCAATTAGGAAATCAAACAAAAGAAAAGATTAAATTGTTCTGGGTAATTTTTATCAAATAAAAACTTGTCCAAGATTTAATTCAGCACTAAATGGACCAATAATATAAACAGTTGAAAAATACAATACAAGACCAAATGTAATCGATATAGGTAAAGCTGGTAATGCTTTACGAATAATAGCTAATAAAAGTAATGTTAAACATAAACCCTACGAAAAAGAAAAAAAACATAAAGGTAAATTATGTAATCAAAAATTTTATACTAACAATTAATAATGAAACATAACATGCTATTGTTACATTCCAATCACCAAGTGCTGATGCTTTTGCTAATAAAATTGAATAAAATATAAAATCACCTAAACCAAGTTTAACACCTTCTAAAAAACAATTTCAACAACAACAACAAAAGATTAAAACGAAACAATTGAAATCAATTAAATTTACTTTCATCATCATCATCATCATCGATTACAGGTGAATTTGATCGTTCAACAACATATCGAGCTGGTTCACGTCGTGTTGCCGTTTGTGGTACATCAGATCGAGGAATAAGTTGTCGTCGAGCATTATTATTTCTTATTGCAGCACGTTGATTTCTTTGTTCTTCATTTAATGTTTCATCAACATTAACTAAAATAAAAATTTTTTTTAGAAAGAAAAAAAAAAAGAATATTGCATAGTTTACCAGCCATATTTGTATCAACATTATCTGGTGCAAATTGCGGTTCCCTTGGTGGTGGATCAACTGCTGTAACCATATAAACCATTGTAGCTAAAATTAGACAAAAACAAAAAATAATTAAACAACAAAAATTAATAAACAAATTTACATGAATAAATTAATGCTGGAAATATTTGTTCACCACGTTCATGTGCTGTTTCAACTAAAATACGTAACGGACCTTTTGGACATAGAACAGCAATAAGATCTTAAAAAAAAAGACATCGATAGAAAAAAAAATATTTTGCTTTTTTTTGTCTCCATTTACCCCATATTGATATAACACCAAGTATAAGCCAACCTGTC